TGTGATTTCTTATGTCTGTTAGACCTAGGATCCTAGCTAGATGGATGAACATGTGAGTAACTGAACTATAATTATTTAGCTTTCCCATGCCTCACCAGACGAAAGATGAATCCCCGAATGCAGAGCCGCTAAACTCCGCTCTCACATCGCTTCAGAACATCGACCGGTATGCTAAAGCAGCCGCTGACAGCGCTGCGCAGGTACGCTCCTAGGGATCTAGTTCATGCCAGAAAGGCATTGAGAACGCCATCATAGTAGCATGTCTGATATTCTGTTAAAAAACAGACGAAAGATGAATCCCCGAATGCAGAGCCGGTAAGCGCCGCTGTCACATCACTTCAGAACATCGACCGGTATGTCAATGCAGCCGCTGACAGCACTGCGCAGGTATGCTCGTAGTGATCTAGTTCATGCCAGGAAGACATTGAGAACGCCATCATAGTAGCATGTCTGATATACTGTTAAAAAACAGACGAAAGATGAATCCCCGAATGCAGAGCCGGTAAGCGCTAGCGACACGGTTCAGAACATCGACGGAGATGCGACTGCAGCCGCTGACAGCGCTGCGCAGGTACGCTTGTAGTGATCTAGTATATATGCCAGAAAGACATTGAGAATGTAGTCATGACATGTTGGATATTCTGTTCAAAAACAGGAGCAGCTGGTGGAGGTTGATGTTAATGTTGCTAGTGGCTCTCCTTTGCCTGGAATGAAGGTGACCGCTGTTTCTGTTTCAGTTTTCTTGGTTTGCATGTTCAAAAGTTGGGTGGAGTTTCAAATATCAAAGAGATATACTGCTTGTTCATCATAAATAGAGAATTCTCTAAAAAAATTGACTGTTCAATGTTTCTGAAATCTGAAACCTGATGAGGGTAATGAGCCTTCTTGTTTACCTCGGAAAACTCAATGATCTGCAGCAACAGCTTGAAGAAGCTGTGAGTATCCCCAAGGCTACAGTAGACATCCTAAAGGATCAAGTTTTCAGTTTTGACACGTTCTTCGTGACCAGCCACGAGCCTTATGAGGTGAGCATCTCAGATGCCATAGTTTATCTTCATGTTCATACAGCAGATTTTGTTACTTATTCCAGTGAAATATCAACCTCACTAGCAAGTTGCAAGTTTCTGTTTACTAATCGTTTTTATAAAGTAGCATCCATGCTAGAACCGATACGTGGCGACATGACCAGGCATGCCATTGGGCCAAATCAACCAAATATTCTTACATAATATGACTGTTCTGTTAAACTCATTATGTATATGATTCATATTCTCATTTCAAATGACAACATGTAAATAGACATCAAATGCTCAAAATGACAGATTGTTATTCTTACCTTCACTTTTGTACATCAGGGTGGAATACTATTTAAAGGGAACTTGCGTGGTGTGCCAGCCAAAAGTTTTGAAAAGATCACAACTCGACTAGAGGTAACAAGATACACAAAAAGTAGATCCTTTCCCAGATATAAGTGTGTACAAATATGCGAATGTTCTGAACTGTGTGCTGCTCCCGGTTATCCACAGAACAAATTTGGCGATGAATTTAAGGTTTTTCTTCTCATCAATCCAGAGGATGAGAAGCCAGTTGCAGTAGTTGTACCTAAGCAGACAGTGGAGCCTGCCACTGGATGTAATAATTCTTTCCTCATATCTTCAGCAGTCAATGCTACAGGAATTGGTCAAATATTTTTCTTATGCCAGGCACACAAAATTTTGCATTACTATGCTTGTGTTTAATTTAAAAACTTGCTGATCCAACCATCGGTAAATTAAATTTTCAGCCGTCCCAGAGTGGGCTGCTGCTGGTGCATTCGGAGTAGTTACCATCTTCACTCTGTTGCTTCGGAATGTACCTGTCCTTCAGGACAACTTGCTGTATGAGGTTTCTCTTCCATTTATTCACCATTTTGCTTTGTCTTCTGTTCTGATAATTGTTGATTTCTTTGTACTACAAGAATTTTAAGGTAATAATTAATTTACAGTTTCTCTAGCTTGATGTCATGTTCGAATGGCAGTATTTGCTTATATCTTTGTGATAAAACAACTTTGAAGTCTCATCTGGGGCCAAGTGATGTTATCTAGGCACTTGGGTAATGTGATGCTAAAACTTCTGTGTTCCTGTCATGATAAAGCATTCCTAATGCACATACAATTTGGTTTGTCAATTACATTAGTTATACATCTCAATTCATGCAATAATTTCTATTGATTCCTTTACTTTGGAAAAAAGAACTGTGTATTTCCTCATGTCATAAGCCAGATAATAGTCAGCTAATTCTCACGATATATTCTTCTCCAGATCAACATTTGATAACCTTGAGCTATTGAAAGATGGACTTCCTGGTGCCTTGGTAACTGGACTCATAGTAGGGGTTCATGAAATTGGACATATCCTTGCTGCTAGGGATGCTGGGGTCAAGCTTTCGGTACCATATTTTGTTCCTAGCTGGCAGGTAAGCTGCAAGCCTACAATTTCAACTAGGGAATGTATGTTTTAATTATCAGAAATTATCTCTCGCTTGGCAAATTGTCAATTTTTATATAAAAGGAGACAATCTTGGATGCTTTTCTTGCTTGCTTATTTCCTTTAATTATATAACATGCTATTCCAGATTACGAGACAAAATTAGAAGAAGTTTGTTAAACTTTCTTTTGTTTGTATTTCCTATTTGTAATACAAAAGCAATGTTTGATCTGAAATGTGCTCTTAGCATAGAAAACCAACTATTACTGAAGGCCTTCTAGAAATATAGGAATATTGGGAGATACTAGATCATAGCTTTGGAAGTAACATTCAATTTTGCACCATTCCTGACTTATCTACTTGACCATAATATATGAGCATCACATTTTTGGTATTTTTCGTAGATAGGATCTTTTGGTGGCATCACCAGAATAGTCAATATTGTCCGCAATCGCGGGGACCTGCTCAAGGTAGCAGCTGCTGGACCGGTTGCGGGGTTTTCGCTCGGATTTGGTCTTCTTCTGCTGGGCTTCACGTTACCTCCAAGTGACGGTCTTGGTATCATCGTAGATCCCGCCGTATTTCATCAATCATTTCTTCTTGGTGGTCTTGGTAAGGGTACTAAAAATATGCATCATCCTTGTTCTAAATGTACTGAATTATGAATTGTACAAAAACAGCATGCTTTTGAACCATGCAAATTTTGTTTAATTTGATACATCTTTCCTTGGTACAGCAAAACTTATTCTTGGAGATGTTCTAAAAGAAGGAACACAACTATCCATCAACCCTCTGGTTTTGTGGGCTTGGGCTGGTCTCCTGATCAATGCCATCAACAGCATCCCCGCGGGAGAGCTCGACGGTGGCCGCATAGCGCTTGCCATGTGGGGAAGAAAGGTAAAGATGCTGCTGTTGAAACAATAAAACAGGATTGGAGGCTACCTGAAGCTGTGAAGAACTTCTGTGCTTGCTTTTCTCACCCTTGACTTGCAATGCACCCTCTGATGAACCTGAACTTGCATTTTTGCGACAGGTATCATCCCGGCTTGGCAGCGTCACCATTGCGTTGCTCGGGCTCTCGTCGCTCTTCAGCGACGTCGCCTTCTACTGGGCGGTACTCATCTTCTTCCTGCAGAGGGGCCCGATCGCTCCCCTCTCCGAGGAGATAACGGAGCCCGAGAACAGATACATCGGCCTCGGCGTCACCATTTTGTTCCTGGGGCTGCTGGTCTGCCTGCCCTACCCGTTCCTCTTCGACCCTTCGCAAGTTACTGATTTCGACTTCTGACAGAAGAGTTTCGAAACTCGCCGCGGCTTCTCTTCCTCCAACTGTATCTGTGAGATGTTTTGCCATCTTCGCGATTCCTGGTGATCATAAGAATAGCTTGGAGCCTTTGATGCTCCAGTGCTCCTTGCAGTAGCAAAATAAAAAAAAGCAGGAGTTTTTTCTTGTGGTAGCTAGTGAAAGTTCACCTTGTATCAGAGTAGAACAAAAGTAGTCCAGTTCATTGCTCCGGCTATAACTGTTCATCTGTTCAATTCTGCTGATGAGTTCATGACAGATTTTTGCAACATTTCAATAGCATTAATGTAGCAGCCCTGACATTATGGGATTCAACATTCGGTAAGATGAGCTACCATAACTGGCAACTCCAAAATCATATACTACTTCAAATAAACAGCTACCGAATTTACATTGCGATACAACAAAAGGCAACACAGTTCAGCCCAATGATCAGCATAATGAACTGGTCGAAGAAATAAAAGACGGATCCTTCTCGATAACATAAATGGATTAACATTGGACATGGAGCAGCCCACATAGCATAAATGGATGAGCATTGGACACTCAAAGAACCTACATATGAGAATAGAGCTCATCAGAGATGATCTTCAACGCTGCCGCTCTTAACATTTTGTGGTCGTGAAAATTCATCATCAGTCAGAACTTTGTACTAGCAAAGAGGCAAATCATCGTGCATAGTGTCCTGCTCTATCGCTGCACAGCTCATCGTCAATGTCGATGTTGTCAAAGCACATCAGGTTGTTGTTGACGCTCGGCTCGGAGCTGGCATTGCTGCTGGTCGCGAGAGGGGAGTCCGAGACACTTATCGGTCTGCCCCTTGTGGAGCCAGACCGGCCGCTATGCACAGATGATGCTGGAATGCTCGTCATAAGAGGCCGTAGATTGTTTGGAATGCTGCGCCGTATGTCCTGCAGAACAAAATTGCACATCAGATTTAATTTAACCAAATGGAGAAGTTTTTGGCATTCGCTAAACTGAGAGAAATAAATAAATTACCATGTGCCGAAGTGCCATGTCCAGTGACTTCTTTGATAATGACCGACCAAAGCCAGAGCTATCTGGAGAATTTAATGATTTTCCGGAGAGACTATTGAGGCTGGATCTTTGATCATCATGTTTCGGAGGAGCTAGTCTTCTCATGTTCACTACCCTCTCAACCATCTTATTGCCCATTTGAACTGGGTTCACACTGTCACCCCCGTTAAGATGTGATCTTCTCACTGCCGGCATGGAACTCCCTGAAGGCACGCTGCCATTCGAAGTCCTCCCTCTTGAAGGAGAGCAAGACTGGCGTTTCGGTCGAGCAGCTGGCCCAGGCTCCACAGAGGAAGATCTAGAACTAGGTGCTCCAGGCCTACCACGAGTAGCAGAGGTTGGTCTTTCCGGCAGCGACGTCCTCAGATTTGGAGGCGCATCAAGCGAGAAGCCGGGCATTTCAGATGGTTTCCATGGTCTTGATTTGACTGTAGGTGAGCTGCCCCTTGAAGGTGCTGGCGCCGTTGTTGTCGCTGCCGATGCAGAGCTTTTGGGCATTGTAGGTCCTGGTCTGGAGATTGAGGAGGATCGAACTGGTCCGGGCAAGTTACTGTGCTGGGTGTGGATGGGAGGGGCAGAAGACCGCCTTGTTGGGGTTGATGACCTTGATGCAGGCTTGCTTTGTGCTGGTAAGGAGGGCCTCGACAAAGGTGTAGTTGACCTAGTAGCAGGCATTGATGATCTTGAAGTAGGTGTTGATGATCTGCTAGCAGGTGCTGATGCTCTACCTGAAGGAACTGATGTCCTGGTAGCAGTAGCAGGGCCAGATGTCCTGGTAGCAGCAGCAGGGCCAGATGTCCTGGTAGCAGTAGCAGGGCCAGATGTCCTTGATGGAGTTGTTGACCTTGATGAAGGCAGTGCTGACCTTGTTGAAGAAAGTGTTGACCTGGAAGTGGGCGTCGAAGATCTTGGGGCAGTAGGTCCAGTCTTGGCAGGCAGAGTTGCCCGAGCATTGGGGGATGCAGGTCTTGAACCTTTGGACGCGGTGGTCGATGCAGCACGCCCAGTTGGTGTTGACGGTCTCGAAGAATTAGATGTAAGCCCTCCAGATGATGTCGGCCGACGAGTTGTCGCAGCTGAGTTTAAGCTGTTTGATGATGTTGTTCTCAATGGATGTGTGGTTCTTGATGGAGGATCTGGATGGTTGGCCAACTAAAATACCATGCAAGAGCAGACAGAAAGAAACTTATGAGTACACATCATATTTAAAGAATGCAATGGAACCCCAAAACTAGATTCTAAATAACATCTTAACAAAGGAAACCACTGTACCGACATAGGCAAGTAAAATCTTCAGTCCAATCATTCGGAAGCTTGAGATAATAACATCACAAATGAATCAAAGGTACTATCTCTGACATAAATCCATGATGAAGCTATGAGACAATAGGTAATAAGTATATGGAGAGCTTGTCTGCTTGAAAATCCAAAATAATTCAGAAGACACAGGGAAGTATACTCGTACACCATAAAAGTGGCGTACAGATTCAGTTAGACCATACTTTGTATCCAGCATGAGTGGAAGTTTGTGGAATTATGTGGATTGCTGATAAGTTCACCACAATAGGTAATCGTGTAGAAACCAAGTAATGCTCATGTTCCACTGGCTCACCCTTGATTTTAAAAAGAAATTATTGAAGAGTACTCATCATACTTAAAAGGGCAGTTTACCCCCAAAAACTAGATTCTAGAAGACTTCCTAAAAATGGAAACAATTAATTACCAATCCCGTAAAAATATAGACAGGTAAAACTGTTCAGTCAAATAATAAAATGCTATCTCGGAGATAAAAAAAATCCACTAACCAAAACTCAAAAGTGCTATCTCTGAGATAAAAAAAATCCACTACGAAGTTATGAGACGAGGAAGTACTATCTTGGAGATAAATCCATGGTTAGCCTGTTTGCTTGCAGATCCAAAATAATATCCATATACTATAAAGTGGTGTATGATATTATAAAGTGCTGTGCAGATTCAGCTAGATCATATCACTTTATATCCACCGTGATAGCAGTTTTGTGAATTATATGGGTTGCTGAGAAGTATTCACCACAATAGGTAATCTTGTATAAACCAAGTAACTGTCATGTTCCAATGGCTCACCCTTGATTTCAAGGAGTTCTGGCGAGTCTTTGGTGATCCTGTTTGGCTCACCGGAGACCTTTTTGGCGCAGCTTCATGAGATGGGAAGAGTGGAGTTCCAGGTGGAGTGAGAAGCCTGAAAGTGAACAAGTTCATTGGTCAGGAAGGTCAGTAAAATACTCTGAACTGCAGCCCAGCTGTGCTCTCTAAATAAAATGTATGGTGTAGCAGAATGAACTTAAAAAACTTCAAAACCACGAGCAACAAAACGATCAAATGTGTAACATGCACCAAAAGGAGCCATTTGTCTCACACAGTGTCTGATATTGAGCACTTTGAATGGAATAGATGGGCAATGATTAGCTGAATTATAAAATGCCCACTCAAATCCATTTCATGACTCATGCTAAAACATGTCACTATCACTAAGTAATTGCATCCCCACAAAGTCAAGCAACCAATCAAGACAAGTATCATGCGAACTTGTTCCATAGTTCACCTGCCACCTACCAACAACCAATCACCACCAAACAATCCAATAGCCCTCTAAACAAAAAGAATATGCTTCAAATGTTAAGTGGCTGCCTAGAGATCTAACACTCACACACCTGCTGGCAAATTAATGATTGGACAGGCATTAAGGACAAAAACTTAGCAGGTATAAGTCCAAACATGACAATCAAGTACACTTCAAATAAACTAGAGCTAAGCTAGGTAGCTTGCTGGGGCTAAGGTATTGAATGTTGAAATTTATGTGTCCGGCACCAAACTATTTCAGTTGTGTTTTTTTTTTAATAAAAATCACAGAAAGCTCATGACATGATGGACTCACTAGCTAACCAACCAAAAAAGCAAAGAGAAGAAACTGGGGCCAACTAAAGCTCAACAAATTGACAACTCACAAACAAAAAGAGCTTTCCAGAAGATCTCACAATCACCTAAGACCCAGCCCATCCGGATTGCACGTCCTAAAGCGCGATAGCTAAAAGAAAAGAGTGCGGCTTGATTACAACACATTAACTAGGCAAGCGATCGAAGAAAGAAGCAGCAGCTAAGGGAAACAAGGGAGCCAACTGTTGCTCCAACAACCAGCTAAGACCCAACCTTTCCAACAATAACAGCTAAACTCTAACTAACAGCACCGAATCCAGGAGAAAGCCAAACTTTATGGTTTGGCATTCAGGTTTGGTGGTGTGGAGCGTAGCAGCAGCAGCTGAAAGCGCATTTTGCTATGCAAGCCAAAATCTTATATACTTCTAGATCACTGCACTGCACATAAAACTAACAGCATGGGGCGAAAGCCAAACTTTGTGGTTTGGCATTCAGGTTTGGTAGTGTGGACCGTAGCTGCAGCTGAAAGCACCACTCTGCTTTGCAACCCAAAATATTGCAATACACAGTATAGTACATCAATGTAACTACACATTAATTTGCAGTACACAGTAGTATTAATGTAGCTCCGAATTGAAGGATGGGGCCTCCGGTAAGACCATCTGGAACAGAACCCCTCAATTAGCAAGGCTCGGAAACCCCCCCCCCCTACCCCCACCTACATTGCCAAAAGAGTGGAGGCTCAAACTTGAGGGTACCAGCACCAACCAATCGGCAGCTCAAACCGGCTAAATGTAAGTTAAATTTACAATGGTGAAGTCCAGATTGGCCCCCAACCTTGCCCCACCAATGATTATGTTGCCCGTAACGGAAAAATCACAAATTTGTGAGTAAAAGCAGGCAGTGGGGGGCACCTACCAGTCGTAGTCGCTCTTGTCCCCGGCGTCGGAGTGGAGGAAGTCGTCGGCCCCGCCGGGCGCCCTCCTGAACCCGCCCGCCATCCTGTACGCCGGCGCCGGCGCCGCCCTGGGTTCTGCGCCCGTAAACCCAGACCAAAATGGATAAGCTAGGGTTTTCGCCAAAGGGGAAAGAAAATGGCAGCAATCCCCAATAGGGGGACGGACGGGTCTGGATAGGGAAGCGCGCGTCGGGGCTCGTGTCCTTACCGGCAGGCACAACCGGCGGCGGCGGCGGCGGGGAGGGGTCGAGCAGCAGCAGCCCGTCCCCGTCCGGGTCCTCGCCGTCGCCGGAGAGCAGCATGTCGGCGGCGGCACCGGCCCGCTCCTTGTCGCGGCGGCGCATCTCGAGGAAGAGCGCGAGCTCCTCGTCCTTCTCCCGGATGACGGCCCCCAGCGTCCTCCCCCCGCCGCCGGCCCCCTCCGCCATGGCCACCCGGTGCATCGCTCGATCCGCCCCCGCGCGTCACCCCGCCGCCCGCCGCAATGCGGGGCTCGCCGCCCGGCCAGATCTAGCGCGAGCGCGCCCGCGTGGGTGTCCTCGGTCTCGGTCGGGGGCGGGCACGCCCGTGAGCGTGAGGGAGCGAGGGGAGAGGAGGAGCAGCAGCAGTGGGAGTGAAGCGAACGGCAGAGCGAAGGGAAAGATCTCTGCTTTGCTTTCAGGTGAGAGTTAAGGAGGCTTTGTGGATTTGAATTTGGTTTGGGCGTTGGGGTTAATTAATTAGCGGCCTCACTCGGCCGGGACCGTTTGAAATCCATTTTGTGTTTTTTGAAATAAAATAGGTGAGGGGCATGGACTGTTGTGCTCAATCTGGTCTGGGGGAGGTAAATGCTATGTGCACACCATCAAACTTTCACTGTTGCAATGGCATTGAAGTGAAGTCGTCTCGAGTCCACTTGTCCCCACAATCAAGCTTCTACTGCACATCTTCTTTGGTAAAATGGAAGTTTATGTCATCTTCCGTCCAAAAAGTCTTTGGTTCAAAAAGGAGAAGTGGAGAAAAATCGCAGGAATAGGACATTTTCACACGAAATGAAGCCGGCGCGCCGCAGCAAGCGATCCATCTAAGATGTTCGGCGCTAAGGCGACCCGCATGCAGGCCTACCTAGTCTACGCC